GCGTACCCCCTCCTCCTGGGCTCTAACATCGGCACCACCACCACGGCCCTGCTGGCCGCCCTGGCCAGCCCTGCGGACATGCTGCTCAGCGCCGTCCAGGTACCGGCCCCCTCACCCCAGCCATTCCCCCGGCCCCTCCCACTCCCAACAGAGGCCTGGGACTTCCCCCGCAGGTGCAGTCCCCTCCTGTCCAGCCCTGTGCTCTGGGGGTGGAAGGCCTGCCTTGGGGTCTCAGGCTCAAACTCTTCAGGGACCCACCACTGGCTGCCCACTCTAACCTCCTCAGACCCCAGGGGACCCGTGGGCATCTCTGGGGACCCCAGACCATCTCCTCTTCCTCTGCAACTTAAACATGTCCACAATCCTGTAGTCCCGGGCTGCCCTCTCCCCCCTTGCTCTCTGGCAGCTCCACCCCAGCTTCTCCCCCAAGGACCACTGCATACTCCTGGCTGTGTTCCTTTGAGGCCCCCTGTTCCTGGGGGCCCTCCAGCCCCTCTGTGCCACCACCTTCAGGATGCTCCCACCCTCATTGGCCTTAACCCAACAGATCCCTACTCGGACCGCTCATCCTCCTCCTGTGAGGGACCGCCCCACCTATGCTGGGCGCTCCAGAAACCCTGGCAGCGTCACAATCCTGCCTCTAGGACAACCCCCCTAGCCCCCAGCTCTGCACAGCCCCACGTAGTCCTGCTCATTCTCTCCAAATCACCCCCTTGGTGGGTGGTCCACTGCTCTGACACGAACTTCCCCCATCCACTGCCGCTGCCCTGGTACCCAAACAGGTGCAGCTCCTGACAACCTGGATCTCTCTGGGCTGCTGCCCACAGGAGAAGCCCCAGCCCTTCCCAACTCCTACTGAATCTTCTGCCTTGGCTCTGTCTCTGTCTGTTTGGAAGCTCCCAGTGCAGGGCCCTGCTCCACCCCCTCCAGGAAGCCCTCCAGACTGCACGCACCACATGGACTCCACGCCTTCTCTGGCAACCCCTGGCAGGAGATGTGTTCCCTCCATGTGTGGTCCTGCAACTCCTCCCCACAGGAGCCAGGCCAGAGCCTGGGGCTGGGTAGCCAAGCCCACTCCGGGATGAGAATGAGCAGGGTAGCTGTGGACAAGGCACTGACAGCTGAGCCAGCTCAGGGGAAAGTCAAATCCACGGGGTCATAAGTGATGTACTTACCTCATGGAGATGACACACACGGCTCCCCACCCTCAAGTGTGTAGGGGCTGCGGGAGGAGCATGCCCACCACACGTGGCCAGAATCTGCCCTCCTGGGTGGCTGTCTTGGTGAACAAGCAGGAACCCAGACAGACTGGACTTAGCTCCCTTTCTGCCCGGCACCCTGGGCCCAGGCTCCTGACCTCTGCCTGCCCTCCCGCCCTCCAGGTGGCACTCATCCACTTCTTCTTCAACCTGGCTGGCATCCTGTTGTGGTACATGGTGCCCATCCTGCGGCTGCCCATCCCGCTGGCCAAGAGCTTCGGGGACCTGACCGCCCGCTACCGCTGGGTGGCTGTCGCCTACCTGCTACTGAGCTTCTTGCTGCTGCCACTGGCCGCCTTCGGGCTCTCCCTGGCAGGGGGCACAGTGCTGGCCGCAGTTGGGGGGCCTCTGGTGGTGCTGGTGCTCCTCATCATCCTGGTCACCATCCTGCAGCAACGCCGGCCGGCCTGGCTGCCCCGATGCCTGCGCTCCTGGGCCTGGCTGCCCCTCTGGCTGCATTCTCTGGAGCCATGGGACCGCCTGGTCAGCCACTGCTGCCCCTGCAAGGCCTGCAGCCCCCCTGAGGCCACGGCCAAGGACGCCCACTGCTACGAGAACCCTGAGATCCTGGCCTCCCAGCAGTTGTGAGGGATGGCCACCCTCCACCCAGCTGACCTCTGGGTGCCCTGGGTGATCCCAGTCACTGCGGACTTGTGAGTCGCCTGGATCACCCTCTTTGCAAATAAACAAGGCAGCACCCAGGTGTGGGTGGTCTTCCCTTCCGTAACCCAGGGCTAGTCAGGGCCACCAGCGCCCTCCCGCCTCTGCAGGGAGCTGGGGTGAGGCCGCACCCATGGTGACCCCTAGTGGACACGCGGTGCGGGCGTTGAGCCCAGAAGGGAGCTGGCCGCCCCTGGAGTTGCGGATACACAGCTGACCCTGAAGCCCCAAGCTGTAACTCTGATCTTCTCAGCAGCCACCAGGGACAGAAGGCCCTAAGCAGCGGACTTGCCACAGCAAGAAGCTGGGGGTCCAGGGAGTCTGGAGGTGGCCGGGGCTTTTCCTGTGGGTGTAGGAAGGAAGGGTGGCTGGCTTCCACCCACCGCCACCCCAAGGTCACGTGGGCAGCTTCTGTGTGGTCCCGCGCCACCTTCGGCGGCCTCCCTGGAGGAAGTCATGTGGCCGCAGCGGGGCCAGAGTCCTGCAGGTGCGTGGGGGATTGGGGAGGGGACGGGTAACAACCTGGTGGACCCAAGGCGCCCTACTTCTCCCCACCACCCTTCTACCTCTCTCTCTCCTCCCCCTACAGGGCTGCAGAGCACGAGGGCTGGTGGGGGTGGGGGGGATGGGGGCAAGCCAGCAAGCAGTTTCCGGGGTCCGCCGGCCTGCAGGCCTGCAGCTGGCCGGCTGCCAGGGGCACCACCCCGCGGGCCTGGGCAAAGCAGGTGCTCAGTGTTCCCCACCCAGACCTAGCAGGAAGCAGGTCCTGCAGAGACTCCTGGCAGCCCTCGCCCTAGAGGCCCTTACCTGAGTAAAACACTTCCACTGGGAGGCAAGCGAAGGCCTCTGGGCCGAGTGCCCACCTGGCAGTGGCCTGCGTGGAGAGGGGGCCGCTCCCGGGCCCCATTCCCCCTCTCAGTGAGCTAGGTTTCCACACAGGAAGGCTTGTGTGACAGCCAGCCGGTAACCGGACACCTCTGTAGCCCGGGGCTGCCCACAACCCCAGCCCGACCCCACGCCACCCCGGGGACAGAAGCGCGTTCAACCTGCACCTCGAACTTGTGCACTGAGAAGGGTGCACAGGCGCAGACCCGCGAGCACAGGGGCTGACCCCGCTCAGGGTCTGATTTGCCCCATGTCTTAGTTTGCTGGGGCCTCCAGGCACCTCCTTCCTGTCCAGGGATGCTGCCCTGATGGGGCACTTTCCTTCCCAGCCTCCCCCCCAGGTTTGCCTCACCAGACCCAGTGGGGGAATGGGTGTGAACAGCCAGGAAGATGAGACCAGGGGACCCCAGAACCAGTTACTGCCCACGATCATGTTCTTTCATTTCTCGGGTTCTCTCAGCGCCCCCATGTCCCCCCGCCCCTCTCAGTCTCCCCTACCCGAGCCTGCCAACAAGCTTCTAAGTCTCCTGAGCCTGAGGCACATCCTGGCCTCAGAAGGAGGTAGCCACCTGTTCTGAGAGCCACGAGGGGCCTCGTGGGAGGAAGACCCCTGGGGCAGGCTCATGTACCCCTTTTTGGCTTCCCCCCACTTTTGTGACCTCAGGACGCTCCTGTGGTTCTGACATAAGCCTCACTCCCATGAAAGTCCCCTGAGGAGGGGCTGGGCCTGGCTACTTCCATGGGGACATAATGGGAGCTCCCCCTCTCCTCAGTGGGAAGGCGGGGAGAGGGGAAGAAAGTGCCCCATGCACCTCTCCTTCCGGGAGCGAGTGAGGCCGCCCACAAAGGCTGACTCCTGGGTCCTTTGAGGCCGCAAACGACAGTCTGCCTGGCGGTAAGGCACCCTCCCGCTGGGACCATGGCCACCCGTAAACAGACCTGTCCTTATGGATGCCTCCAGCAGCTGCAGGCTGGGGCGGGAGGGCCAGGTGCCTAGCACTCCCACTGCCCCAGCCCAGGCTTCCCTGTGTGTCTGGCCCTCTCTGCCTGGCATCCCACCAGGCCACAGACCCCCCTGCCCCACGCAGGGCCACCTCTCTACACTGTGTCACCACATAATCTCTATTTTGTTACTTGTAAAGTGGGGATGCCACAGGGAACTCCCAGCCCACCCATCACAGGAAGCAGAGGTCTTTTCCAGTGGGGGTCTCAGGCAGGAGTGGGAGGGGAAGAAGAAAGGCTTTGATACACATTTCAAAGACAACCTCAGCAGGCTCGTGCCAGCTCCCTTGGAGAAAAGTCTGAGCTGCTCCTTTGCTCAGTGATTTGTGGACTTGTGACAAGACCATGCTACCAGGCCCAAGAGCCTCCCTGCTGCAGTGCCTGGGCCTTGCAGACTGCTGCTTGGGCAGCTGAGCTACTTTGCAGGGCACTGTGAGGACCCAGGGTGCCAGGCAGTGACCCTGCACATCCCACTTGCCATGGCCTGGGGCCTACCTTCCTGGAAGGGTGTAAGGGAGGGGGCTGGTACCCTAGGCCCTGCTGGGACCGACCAGCACTTCGAGGTGCTGACTCACCCTCTGGGTCAGTACTGCAATCCCCACAAGGCAGCTGCAGACCTTTCTCAGAGGACGGGAAGATTAATCTCTATGCCAGCATGCTGCTTGTCCCAAGGATTTCACTCACCCATTAGGTATACCGTACTACACTGTCCACCGCAGTCTGCCGCGGTGCTGTGGTGTTATAGATTATATGGTGAAGCAGGGAACACGTCCCCTCCAGAGGGAAATAAATTGCCAAGCATTGCCCCCACCCAACACCCTCAGGCTGTGTAGCAAAGGAGGGTAAGAAGCTCACTGAGAAAGCCAGAGTCTACAGAGGCCCCAGTGGCCATGGCAAGGGAGACTGTCCAGGGCAGACCCAAGAGTATAGTTCATTATTTTTAAGTTATTATGAAGATATACCAAAAATGTACTGTTTTTAAAATGATTGATTAAAGGTGTGATTACATGTAATTTAACTGTTTCTCCTTTACAAGTTCTCCCACTCCCCAAACTAAAATCAAGGAGAAGTAAAAGCATTTGTCCACCCAGGTGTCCTGATCCGTGGCTGCCCAGAGGGCTGGGCGCCGTCCTCGTTTCCACGCAGCTCTGTGCGCCCCTGGGGCCAAGGCACCAAGGTGATGGGCGCGGCGCCAGCGTCGTCTCCACAACAAGCGGCTGCCGGGCAGGGCAGGGCCCTCGCCCCGCCCTGCCCTCCTCTCCCCACCCGCGCCCACCTCTCCCCCTCCTCCACCCCTCCTCCCCCGCCCGGCGCATAGGCCCCGCACGCTCCCTCACCTGCCCGCGACGGGAGCGGGCGTGCGGACCAAGGAGAGGAGCAGGGGGCAGCGAGGCTTCCGCCACCCTGCGGAGAGGGCCTCAACTCCACCGACACGCCCGCCCCGGCGCCGCCGCCCCTTGGCCCCTGAGCCCTGTGCGTCCCTGCTGTGAACGGCCCCGCACCCCTCCACGGCTGGGACACCCCGCAAAGTGCGCCGCGCAGGCCTCGAGAAGGCGCACG